GTGCTACAACTTGAGAAAAGTTCTTGATGAAGATCTGATAGTAATTGACAAATCTCAAAAAGTATTATATATTTTTTATTATTTTTAGAATCTTCTAATCGATGATTGTATGAAATTTTTTAGGATCCATCATTAGATAATTGTTTGAAATGATGTATCCTAAGAAGTCAACTTGAGTAGTATTGAATATACACTTTTTTATCTTGGCATACAATTTTGCATTTCTAAGTTTTTGTAATACACAATGAATATGAACTTCATATTCTTGTGCGTTCTTAGAGTAGATTAAAATGTTGTCTAAGTAATAGATAATAAAATCATCTAAAAAATCACAAAAAATATCATTTATAAGATGTTGAAAAGCAATTGGTATATTCGTGAGTCCAAAGAGCATGACATTATATTCAAAGTATCCATACGTTGTTCGAAATGTAGTCTTCTATTCATCTCTTTCTTTAATGTGGACCACATTGTATGCTCCTCGTAGATCTATTTTGTATAGATCTTAACTTGATTTAGTTGATTAAGAATTCCACATATCAAAGGCAAAGAATATCTATAGTAATCTTATTGAATCTTCGATAATCCACATACATTTGTAATGATCCATCTTTTTTCTTTTCAAATAAAATAAAAGCTCCTGTAAGAGATTTTAAATGGCGTATGAAATTCTTAGCCAATTTCTCATCAATGTACTTCTTAAGTTCAACCAACTCATTTTGTGATAAACCATAGATTGGACCAAATGGACATTGAGTTTCTTTTTTAAGATTGATTGAACAATTATATAGACAATGCTCTGAGAGAATATTTGCATTCTTCTTCTAAAAAATATCTTAAAAATCTTGATGCTGACTTGAAATTTCACTTGAAATCTTTCCATCATTTAAAATGGATGTGGCGTAAATAACAAAAGACAATCCTTCTTTTGTAGCATGCAAAAAAGCATTTGTATCTACAAATATAGGTTTGGCTATACTAGACTTATGACTTTCTACTAGATTAGAAAAACTCTTAATGATTTTTGAAGAAAAGTCAAGTTTACAAGAAATCCAATCTATTACGATATTATATTTTTCTAACCATGATAAATCTAAAATGACTAAATTAGATAAAGATCTAATTATATTAAAAATTATGTAATTATTATGACTATTTATTACTACATCTATCGAAAGTGTTTCATGAATAACATCTCCAAAAGATAACGGATGACCATCTATGATTTATGTGATTCTTAGATTGAATCTCAAAAAGCCGATTATCACATTTTACAACAAAGTCAATTGTTTGACTCAATGTTTGAGGATCAAGTAAATTGAGCATCAATTTCTTTATTTCATATTATAATTTGTAGAAAAATTGATTGATAAGTGTTATATCATCATATTTGATATCTATTGCTAATTGTCAAAATTGTGAAGTGTATAATGTCACTAATTGATTGCCTTGTCACAAGATACAAATCTTTTTGATTGCAACACTGATTGCATCATGTTCTCTATACATAGATCAAAACTCCGTTAAGAAGGCTTTTAAATTATCCAATATTAGATCACATCATTCAAGAAATGATAAAAACCATGATAAAGTAGAACTTAAAAGTACTATTTCAATAAACGTGACTTATGATCCTTGAATTGAATAACTTTGAGGTTATAGTTCAATCACCAATTTTACCTAATTGATGAATCTTCAAAACTTAGATCTTATGCTATCAAGTTTTTCAAGCATTCTAATTTTTGGTTCCTTGAAACTTGAACAATATTCCATTGTAAGAGCAGTAATATGGCTTGATGTAGATGTTCAAGCAACTCCAATCATCTCTGATAATCTTGTTGCTCCTTATGGTTGTAGACTGAGTTGATGCATTGCAAGCATTAACTCTCTCATTTACTCTTGCATTTGAGCCATTACACTCTTCATTTGAGCAAGCTTTGCCATGCTAGCAGAATAAAAATGAAATGTGTCTATTTTCACATAATACAATACTAAAGAATAAAAATAAAATAAAAATAAAAATAAAAATAAATCCAAAAATAATATCAATTTAAAAGAAGATAATCTACAACTTCTAATATGCTTATGTCTTATTAAGAAAAAAGAGTAATCCGCTCTTAATCAAGAAAGGACAAAGCTCTGATATTATATGTAGAGTCTTGTTAATCTATCAAGGACACAAATTAGAAGAAAATATATAAACTCATAGAATCTATATCAAAAAAAAAGTAACAAAATAGAAGAAAGTATGTATATTCAAGGAAGAATTGGAATAGCTATTGTCAAAGACTAGAAAACATAAGACTCTTGAAACTATACTAAAAGCAAGAAAGGAATTGACAAAAGTGAAGAAGGCCTCAGTCTTGCCTCTATATATACTACTTAACTAAGAACTATGTGGCGACATGCTACAGGACCTCTAATATGCATCCAATTTGCAAGACACATGTCTAATTTGCAAGGTAAGTTTTCTAGGTATAGCACAAGTGGTCAACATGTCGACACGTGGCCTCGTTGTTGGCAAAGTTTTCAACCTATCAATCACCTATAGACATGTATGAAGGCAAAGCAGCATCTTTGAAGCTTCTAGGAAGCTTTCCACAAGATATTATCATATTTATCTACCTTGACTTATTTGTATCTATTCTTGTTTTTTAGATAATTATCAGAATAAATATGTATGTCTGTAGCACCTTGTTCTTAAGCGGATTTCAAGTCTCGTCTCTCTTTCTTGCCCTAATATGGATGTCATTGTCTGTCTTTTTTTTCTCAATACAAGTCTCAATTCTCTTCCTTCTTTCTTTTACCTTGGCATGGGTTTCAATCCTTGAGGCAAAGAAGAGAAAGAAATAAGGATTGACATCGATATCAAAGAAAAAAAGAAATGCAATGGGACCAAGTTTGTCAATGGAATAGCATGGATTTAGGATTGGAAATTTAATGACTTTGTAAAGTCGTAGGAGTTAGGTTAGTTAGGCATCTATTTTCAATGATGAAAGATTTTTGTTTTGTGGCATATGGAAGAAATTTTTTGTTCACCACAATATCGGTACAATTGATTATGCAATATATACCTTTGTCGCTAATTAGAAGTTTTCTATTAAAATCTACAACAAATTTGGCTCCTAGCAAAATCATCATTTTCATGCATTCATACTTGATAGATTTAAAGTGCTTCTTTTAATTTCTAAATCCTTAGAGGGAGGTCATGAGATTTTTTTTAATAAAACTTGGAGGTAAATGTAAAACTTTAGATGAAATAAAATCTCGAGTTGATATTAAAAAGAAAGTGTGTATGCAGCAGCTTAGTCTTTAAAGCTCAATAATTGAAGAGAAGAATGTCAAGATTGAAATGAAACTATATATTGCATAAAAAAAGGTCTAAATTTAAGGCTGATTATGATCTTGATCTACAAAAAAATATAAACATAGTTAGAGCTCATACAATATACAAATATGACCTTTATTAGAAAACTATTCTAACTTAGAGTTGGAGGAAAGAAGTGTAGAAATGGATGAGATTGATGATATCAATAATTATAACAAAGCAATTGTAAGAAAGCAGATTCATTGAATAGTTTATGAAATCAGGATGTGGAGATTTATGGCTACGAAAGTTGTACATGCAAATAAGATGGCTAATCCAAGAAATATGTTTCTAGTAAATAAAACAGCAATTACCAAAATTCAATTGGTAAATTATAATCTCTTATTGCCTAAGTTTTAATAATCAAAATTGAACTTCAAAACAAGCATTATATTTATTTTGGTCATGCTTGTAGTACATATCATTTGCCATGTATCATATATATTATAAACATTAAATGATTTTTATTATGTCTTGCCTAGTTTTGGATTTGAAAAAAGTATGATGGAGGATGGAAATTGTAGTGTTTTTCATCTGTATTTGCTCAATAATTGATTCTAAAGGAAAGAGCATAATTACTCTTAATTGACAATGCTAACAATAAATAAATTTTTACATGATAATAAGCTTGAAAAATGAGACATTGTTTTTAAACTACCCTTATAGAAAAAGAGATTGAGATTCAAAAAAAAATAAAAAAATAAAAAATAAAATGGCAAGATCTATGTTGGAACAAAAGAGAGAAGGAATGGACTAGGACCCATGCTAGGACAAGGAAAAATAGATCTAGATGAGCCAATTAAAAGCTTTGGATATGTATATAGACATAATGGGTATGTATTTAGGAACTTGAGGTGTGCTTGTAGCCTAAGCATAACAAAAATAAGCCATGATACAAAGAATTGAAAAGGCAATACTCAATACTAAAAGTCACCTAATTCAATTCTTAACAAAATGGAGAATGCAAATAAAAGAAACCTTCAAATTCTAAACAAGTTAAAAGATGTCCTCACCTTAGTCAAATCCCTCCAAGTTCTTTATTTTGAATGATAGACCTGTGCTTTGTACACTTGTGCACAACAATGCAATTTTGACTTAATAAAAGCAAATCAATTTTAATCCACAACTCTAAAATGTCCTCACCTTAACATCCTATGAATTAGCAAGTTAAACTTTGTTAAGATCAATAATGATTGAGAAATCCAACCAATTAGAAGGTCAATTTGTTTCCTTAGTTTTTTCAATTGATTTATACTCCTGATGTGTTTTATAATAGGGATTCAGACTAGATATATATATATATATATATATATAAAAAATAACCTTGAAGCATATAAGTATATACACCATTAATAAAATAAAAAAAATAGAAGTTGGAGAACCTTCTTTCAATTATGTGAAAAATTTGTTTCAGGGTAGCACACCAAATGCACAATTGCCATATCTTTTACACCAATGCACTAACTACTGTTTGACTTTTGATTGCCAAAATATTAGCGTATCTCATTTGATCTTATTTGTGCTTAGTTTTTGTAATTGACTTTCCTGAGCATTCTGTGTAAAACGCCACCTTAGTGATATTTAACTCTCTAAGTTGTTTTCTTAAAGACAATCATAATAGCAAGAACAACTATAAAATAAATAATTGTGGAACAAATAATAGAAATATAATCCATCGATTCTGATTGGAACAAAGAAATAAAAATCGGTTCTAATGGATTGGAAATCATGAAAGTATTTGCTATCACATGAAAGCATCTACAGATTAGTCTTGATTTTAATGTTCTGACTTGTAACTGACTTCACCATGACCTCCACAGCTCTGCCCAGCTGCTACTTGCAAGCACACGCATTTGCAGTGCCATTTGATATTGCCAGTTTCGGAGGTTCAGGAATTGCAACATCGGCACCTTGCCAATCCCAAAAACAGCAACTCCGAGCCTCTTTTGAAGATGATCTGTTCACAAATCACTAAGGAAAAAGAAAAATAAATAAATAAAATAAAATAAAATAAAAACATTGCACTGACATCAAAAACCATCCCTGGTGCCTTTAGATTGGTGGTGGGTATTGCTTGGCTTGCTGCCTTACTCGTCGCTTGTATTCAACTGGATCCTGCATGCAGGAACCATCGAACCCAAGTAACTTGTCAAGTAGACTTTCGGGTCCAATCCCAACGTTAATTGTTGAGCTGAATCGGGCCATTAACAAGGTTATCTAGAATAAAGCTGGATTAGGCAAATATTAAGGTTTGCCATAATTCGATACAAGATTCCATCCAGTGATGTCTATAAGAAGATTTCAGAGAGTAAAACAAGACATCCAAAACTACAATACTTCGAAACGCTCAGTACTCAAGAGATAGTACGTGGGGAAGCGGGTACCTGAATAAAAAGCTGATAAGCTTCAGTCTGAGCGGGATCTGCTGGGTTTGGAGCGTCGAGCAGCTCCTGGATACCGACGAGGATCTGCTTCACGGTGATAGCTGGTCTCCAACCCTGCCAATCGAACTCACTTTAAGTACAAAAGCAGAACACAAATCTCCTGCATGTCACAAACTGCACGGAAGAAAGCATGGATGTTTACTGAAATAAGTAATACACTCAAGGAATAAAGAATCTTCCTAGCCGAAACCCACAAGGCAAAAGACTTACTCCAAAACCACAGGTTTGAAGGGATGATTTGAGAAACCAATCAATGTCACATGAATAACAATCAGAGAAAAACGAGACACGACCCTTCACATTGGTCAAAGGACTTACCGAATCTTCATTCAGGATGGAGAGGCAAACTGTGCCTGAAGGATACACGTTGGGGTGGAAGAAACCCTGTGGGAATTTGCACTTAGGAGGCTTGCTGGGATAATCTTCAGTAAAGTGAATTGCTACAGGATAGAATCCACCTTCCCAGTCGGTCTGCAAAAATCAAAGCCAATATGTGACTCAAAACAACAAACGATAACCCACGGTTTTAACTTGCTTGCGCTACATTTAGTGACCCAAGAGCAATCCATGTAGGAACCAGCCCACTCCAAGGTTAATTAGGATAAGCTGCAAAATGCGGTTCCCTCTCATATTCTGCTATCACTAAACTGAAAAGTCTGCCACATGAAACAAACACCGTGCTCTTACAAGACAGCCCAAATCTTTCTAAAGGTAACTTAAATCTCCTGCACATGAAAGTGCCCAAATCAAATTGCAGGGATGGAACGCCTGTGATGAAACCACGAGTTCGCGAAAGAAATGCATGAGAAAAGGAAAACATACCCCAACTTTTCCAGGTAAAGTACACTGCCAAACCATCAAATTAAGAGCTCCATCTGCACATGTCTCAGGCCTAGCCACAAACCCCTGCCAATGCCAACCTCACATATTGAGTCGGCTTTGCAAAGTTTTCACAAAAGGATTTTCAAAATTGTCCGAGCGCACCCACACAATATACATTTCAATGAGATCGACAAATACGCGACACAGGGTATTGACAGAACTGAAAGAAGATAAGTGTGGGAAAAAGCAAGGAGAAATTCCATGCTCAAAAAAGTGAAAATAATGATAAAAATATAGTTTTACATTTTTAAAACCCTAATACAAGGTTGACGAACGCAGGAAACACGAGAAGTGCAAGGAAGAGATGAAAAGGAGAGAAGCTGGAAGGAGACTGTAGAAAAATATTTCATACTTCTGGACAGAGAAATAGAGGAAACTACACACATAAAATATCATGGCCAGTATCAGGGTCAAGCAGACAACAGTTAAAGGCGATATTACAAAGATAAATATTTCGAAAGACAGCAAGACGATGCCACAATACAAAAACACGCCTTACTTGTCGATATGCCTCCAAAAAATTTAAGAAACAAGACAAAGATTCGAAGGCACTTAGATAGAGGAGAGCAGATGTAAAATAATAAATAAATGAATAAATAAACAGCTGCACCAGCATGCAAAACTACAAACGCAACGATCAAATAAAATTAGATGAAAAGAGAAAAACTACAAAATCAACTCCGAATCTCCAGAACTTGACTAAGAAGATCTTTCCGCTATGTCCTATTGCAAGGCCTCTGCTGAACTCAAATATGCTCTCACCTCCCAAGGCACACTTACAAACAAATACCTTGAAGCCATGAAAACCGAGAATGGCAACGTTGCAAGATGAACAAACAGCACGAGAGTGTAGATTGCGATGGAGTCGAGACATATGTAACCGGATACTCCGCAACACCAATGAAACCATGATTTAAGCCCCCACTAAAATGCACATGACCATCGTCTCAACAACTCCACTCACGCAGCATGAACAACACAACTCCGAAACGACCAAAGAGAACGTCGTAGTCCGAAACCAAAATTGGCAAGGGAAGTAAACACAAGTGCGCAACTCGAGCAAAACATATGCATGCATACACAAAAACCACAACCAAAATTACAACTAAAATCACAGCAAAGACTAAAGAAACTAAAGTAGAATAATAAATATTATCTATCAGTTTGGAAGAATAAAAAAAAAGGGAAATGGAGGCCAGAATCGAGGCGTGTGGTTGGTTATACATGAGGATGATTCTTCCGCCAGGCCTTGCGCTCCTCCGCAAGTCGACCCCGCGCAATTCCTCCCGACATAGCTCCACTTCCTTAAGTCCCCGTTCCTCCTCCTCCTCTTCCTCCTCTCTTCCCTTTCTTTCCCTTCCTTCACCTCCCTCACGCTCTCTCTTACTTCCTCTCTCGCTCTCTCTCTCGCCCTACTTGTACTCGGTGTGACTGTCCCGACGCTGCCAAATAGCTCGCGCGGCCATCGCAGTCTTCCCGTTTGTCTTCCTGCGACACAGTCCCCGCTTCGTCTCGGGCTCCGGGCTCGGGGCTCCCCTTCATCCTTCATTTCATTCATCCACTTTCGTCCACTCTCGTTTCTCGTCTATTATTCGTTCGTCCAGTCGGCGTTCGTCGCCGGCGACCGCGAACTCGATGAAACTTTTTTGGATTGGAGTCGTCATCCACATCCATCATTGGCTTCATCTCTCTTTCTATTTTATAATGGCGTGGAGCTTGTATTGTATTGGATCCACTTTTTGTAAACACGTGCTTGGAAGTTGGACCACTTTGTTTTGGAAGAAAGTGCCCTTTGTTGGGAACTCTTCCTACCAAGTATTTTTGTGTGGCTTTAGAGTTTAAATTTTCGAAAGGAATTTTTTTTTTTTTTTTTTTAAATAAAAGGTATTGTGATTGAATATTAGGATTGGCATATGTTGCTTACTATTGTGGTTGGTTTAGAATCAGTGTGGAAGGGTGTTTTACTACCATGTGCAACTTTTTTATAATTTCTTATTGTACTTTGTGTTACATGCAATTTCCTTTAAACTACAATATTTACCTTAAATGTGAGAACGATTCCAATTAATAATCTGAATCATTTGGTATAAAATGATTGTTTTCAACCTTGATGGAATTTTACTGCTTGTGTAGTTAAAATTACTTTTAAGATCATTGGTTTCTAAATAGAGCTGATATTATAGATTTTTCAAAGTGTGGGCTTTATGTGCTTGTATGTTTTTATTGTATAAAAAATACATAAATATTAATTGTGCATAAATAATAAAAAATAAAAAACCAAAGCATTTATTCAGACATAGTTATGAATGTTTAATTTTAAAGTTTTTAATCTGTACCAATTCGATGGTATGTATACATAGAATCCAAAAAAATTGTAATAAAGAGAAAATTACTTTTTTATACTTTATAATATATTGTAATTATTAGATTAACACAAATTTCAGTTTTAAAACATAAAAACACGGAAAATAAAACTGAAGTAGTGTGTACATCTTGAGACTTTACAAAGTGTGATTTTGTACACTATGTATGAATTAAACGTAGATTCATAAAGCTAATGGTGCATGTATTATATGCATGCAATGCTCAAGAAAAATACAACTAAAGTTGTACATAAGATAGTCTAGCAAAATATTTAATTCAGTTTTTATGATTAAATTTTAGAATACAAAACATAATAATTATTTATTTCTTGTTTAATATAAATATATCTATGTGCTAATGTCACCTTATGTTTTGCTACTATCATCACAATCATGTAAAAATTTAGTCAATTTTTTTTTTTTTTTTTTTTTTTTTTTGCTACTTTCACCTCAATCATTTCATTAAAACTCTCTCTCTCTCTCTCTCTCTCTTTCTATATATATATATATATATATATATATATACATTCATAAATAAATAATTTTGATCTAAATTTAAAAAATTTAAAAAATATGTTGAGTGAGTGGCAGATTGTGATGAGAGTAGCAAAAATTGGTAATAGTAATAATATACATGGTAATAGAAATAAATATATATATATATATATATATGTCACAGATTCCAATTCGAGCAGCGAGCCCGTTCACACGCACTGGGGAGGAGGAGATGCGCGGGCGAGGCGGGGAGAGAGACCTGGTGGGAGTGACCCCTTCGGAGCCACATTCGGTCATGGGTCAGTCAGTCAGCCCCCCCGACGACCGCGCCCTCCTCGCAGCACCGCCCCCCTCGTGCAGCACCATCATCGGGTGTGCCCTGGCTCGTTCCTTCGTTCGTTCGTCCGTCCGGCCCGCCCTTTCACAGCACGGGTGGGCCTCGCCGCTTGCAGGCTGCACTGAAAGCGCCTCGTCGCCGCAGCAGCTGCACTGCGATCGATCGCTGTTGCCGTGATCGCTTCAACCCCGCCATCTCCATCGACTTGTACTTCCCAATCTCGCCTCCAGTCGCCAGGGTTGGCACGCTGTGGAGGTATCGGAATCTGGATGCTGTGTCAGCCATTCTCTCGTGGTTTTTCTCGGTGGATTTTGTTAGATATTCTTTTTGATCGAATGAGCTGAGGTGTGGTGGTGGCGTAGACGCGGGTGTGAGGAGACAGAAGTGGATTTCTATTGTTGAGTTTGAGGATTTGGAGTCATGGCGGCAGCGGGAGGGAGGAGGGGGATGAAGGCGATGAGTGAGATGTTGATGAAGTCGCAGAGAAGGACCGTCACGTACATGCCTCGGCCGGGAGACGGGAGCCCTAGGGCGGTAACTTTGTTGCCCGGTGATGGAATCGGGCCGTTGGTCACGGGCGCGGCGGTGCAGGTGATGAAGGCGATGCATGCGCCAGTGTATTTCGAGGAGTACGAAGTGTCCGGGAAGATGGACAAGGTGCCGACCGAGGTCATGGACAGTATTCGCAGAAACAAGGTGTGCTTGAAAGGAGGCCTTGCCACGCCTGTCGGGGGAGGTGTTAGTTCTCTGAATGTGCAGTTGCGGAAGGAGCTGGATTTGTTTGCGTCACTTGTGCATTGCTTCAATTTGCCCGGTCTCAAGACGCGCCACGATAATGTCAACATTGTGGTTATTCGAGAGAACACTGAAGGAGAGTACTCTGGTCTTGAGCACGAGGTCGTCCCCGGGGTTGTCGAGAGCCTCAAGGTAATTATCTTATTCTTGAACCCTACAAGTAATACACAATTTAATGCGTATGAACTGCGGCAAATCTTCTTTACTCATTTCGTTATGCACTTTTCTGCATATGTATTTCCCGTATCGATTTTTTTTATCAGTGATTGATAGAATTCGAGCGTCCACTGGCTTGCATCTCTCAGTGTTAATAGGAGATGAATTTATGATTAGAAAATTCGCGCCACCTGCAATTTTCTTGGAAAATGTAATTTTAGGGACTGATTGGGGTCCAGGATACATCATGAGAAGCGCCTCGATGAGCAAGTGTAGTCTCAGAAGTGTTGCAGATCGATTCCGTTTTAGTGAGATGCAAGAAGAGTTTGGATGTAGGTCATTTTCCGGTAAGGTCGTGTGTTGACATTCTTATACACAAGAACGAGTCCATACAATGTAATATTGTGTAGCATTCGACGTTTAGGGTTCCACCGGATAACCATCTGGCGCCTTCGTTTATATCTGGCCATGTTTCTTCTTCATGATTAACTCGCCGTGAAGGCGACTCTATGTATATTGCATAATACCTGTCGAATGACCTGCTGGTTTCTGCCTTGTTGTCAAATATGTCGTGGATGCCTCACAGTGTTAAGCTTTTCAGGTGATAACCAAATTCTGCTCCGAGCGAATTGCAAAGTACGCCTTTGAGTATGCTTATCTCAACAACCGTAAGACAGTAACAGCAGTACATAAGGCCAACATCATGAAGCTTGCAGATGGTCTTTTCCTAGAATCTTGTCGTGAGGTGGCCAAAAACTACCCAGGCATCAAATACAACGAGGTCATTGTGGATAACTGCTGTATGCAACTTGTGTCTAAGCCCCAGCAGTTTGACGTGATGGTAATTCTCTTAGACTGCTCTCATTAATTTATTTCTCCGTTTTATTATTTTAATTGCCGACGGATTGCAGCAGGTGCCTCAACCCTAGAGATGATCCCGTGTTCGATAGCATCACAGGATTGGGCTGGAAGTTGCATTTTTGTTTGAATTTCTGCCTCTAATTTAATTTAGTTCAATTTAGTTTTTTTTCTTATGTTGCATAAAATTAGGGAAATGATAATCAGCTGTACATATGGTGCGTACTTGAATGGGTGTTGTATGGATTTCTCAGGTAACACCAAATTTGTACGGAACCTTGGTAGCTAATACCGCAGCCGGTATTGCAGGCGGCACTGGTGTCATGCCAGGAGGTACTTTCGTTCGTTTTATTTTTAGTCTTTCTACAATCTATGCTACACTGATGAAGGAAGATCGTACAACCTTACTGGACTTCAGATTTATTTGACAATTTTCAAACACTGGGGCACTTTTTTGTCATTTTCGTTCTTATTTTCACTATTTTTATTATCAAGGAATAGTTAGTCCTTTGGACCCTGAAGGTTGAGACAGATAAATTGCACTACCACCCTTTTCCCATGCGCAGTTGCAGTCTCATCCTTGGGCCTGATTCCCTTGGAAGCAAATTGGACTGTTTCGAGCTAATCAGCCTTCATGTTTGGTTCCAGGCAATGTGGGTGCAGATCATGCAATCTTTGAGCAGGGAGCCTCTGCTGGTAATGTCGGGAACGAAAGACTAGTAGCTGGTAAAACTGCCAATCCCACGGCATTGCTCTTGTCATCCGCCATGATGTTACGACATTTGCAGTTCCCATCTTTTGCAGACAGGCTGGAACAAGCTGTGATGAGCGTGATAGCGGAGGGGACATATCGCACTAAGGATCTTGGGGGCACAAGCACTACTCAAGATGTAGTTGATGCTGTTATTGAAAAGCTAAATTAACTGCTTCACCTTCTTTTTATTTTATTTTTGCCCCTTCTCCCTGGAGCTACAGGGTTTATGGCTTAATTAAAGCAATTTCTGGTTGTGGGTATATTTTATCCCACAAGTTTGCTAATCAGCTTCGAGAAACTATCTTACCGATCATTGTTGAATCTGCGATAAAAGGTGGGAACCTTTCTGTGGCAGCTTTTGGTTGAATGAAGCAGATAGTTCAGGATTACGCATTGTTGTAAAAGTGAATTGAGATCGCTAACCGCAAGCCATAATATTAATAAAAAATAAAAAAATAATAATCACCGTGTGGAAATGGAGAGATTGTGGCTCTACGGTAGATATACGCTGATGTTGCCGCTGGTAGCCTTTACAATATTAACTCAGATCTGTAGGCTGCTGGAAGTCTTCAGGTGATCAACTTGGTTAAGTTTTATTGAGTCAAATTCTACGAACACCATCCAACTGAATTACAGTATGAATGTGTGGGTTGCTTTCAAAGTAGGGAACCAATGATCAACCAACGAAGAGTGCACTGGCCACCTTTGAATGCAAGCAGTATCTATTTAGTTGATTTCAATCCAAGAAAAACGCAGGTGCACTTTTTACTATGAATACAGATGATTAATGTGAAGGCATTCAATATTGTCATGTTCTGGCTTGTTCAACATGTTTTTAACTGCATGAAAAATATTTAGAATTCTGGTGAATCTTCAATGCTCGAGATTGTTATATTGGTTTCACTGTTCGAAAAATATGGTACTCATATTTTCTGTGATCAATTTCTTTGTTGCGAGTGGGGAACTTTGCTACCTCATTTTGTAGAGGATTGACAACCATTCGTGTTCAACCTTTTTCTTTAATTTCTATTTAAGGATCTTTGTTGTTCTTTTCGTTGGTTTATCCCCAAATTTAGTTTCATCTATTTGACTTTGTTATTGTTCTGTTTAAGGTCTAGATTGTATAAAGGATTACGTAATTCATTTATAGCAACTTAAGGTCATCTCAGAACTGAAAATTTTCAGTGAGTGTATATATGTATGTATGCATACTTAATAAAATACATAAATAGTGCATTCAAATATTTATAAATTTTTGAAACTTTGATTTCATAGTTTGAGTGTGAATTCACTCAAACTATGAAATCAAATTAATATAACCACATAATTAGCATGATTAATTATGTGGTTGGTAAAAGATGGACATTTCAATTCTAAATGTATCCATTTATATATTAACAACACATTCCCTCTAGACTTCCTTCTCTATAAGATTTGTGATTGTTTCCCAGTAATTAAATCCACATCTAAATCTAATTACAGAAAATTGTAATTTGTTGAATTGATTTCCTGGTATAAATTCATTCACACAACTTTTAATAAATACAGTGAATGCAAATTTAAAAATTGAAATCCAATGTTAATGTAATTCAACAAAAATGTTTGTTTTTTTTTACTTTACTGTTATATATATATATGTGTGTGTGTGTGTGTGTGTGTATATATATATATATATATACACATGTATATAATAATGTTAAACTCACATCTGGATTTTCATAGAATAAAATGTAAAATATTTATTTAGTTTTAAAAACATAAATAAATAATTAAATGCAAATTTGGAATACTAGTTCCACATAAATATGTCTCTGTCTTTTTCTTTTTCCTTTTCGATTCTTTTCATTTAAAATGATTGGCAAAATTTATATGTAAATACCTCCCATTATTCAATAACCAAACTTCATCCAGAAGCTCATTAGTTGCCATATTTCTATATGAGATATTATTATGTATGTTGATGTTAATTTAATCGACTATTTCAAATGTCAACATCATCCAGAAATCTAATAAAGAAAAGAGAGAAAAGAGTTGAATAACGAAAAGAGTGCAAGTAAAATAATCAGTTTCACTTGGTTTGAAAGATACAAAAGAGAAGTTGTGACATGATTTCTACGTTGTGAGCCACGACTTGTGTATATATCAGTATTTTATAAGTTTACAGAAACATATCCACGTTGATTCATCTTCTAATATTTTGTCACTATTTTTAGAAATTCAAATCTTGTCACCTTGTACTTATAACAAAATACTTACGGTACTTTCTAATTTTTAAAGTTTTTTTTTTATCTTTAAATGGAATAATAAAAGATTAGTCCAACATATACATCAGTTTTGTTTTCTAATCACAATAAAAATCGCTGCTAAAATCCATTTGTTAGAAACAAAACTAGATTACTCGATTGAATTTCACTTGGAAAACAACATTTTAAAGTAAAAAAAAAAAAAAAGAAGTGAAAAAGTGAAAAAGTAAAAAATTTGTATCTCAAAATGGTATCTTAAAATCACAACATGAAACAATTTTAAGTTTTTAAGTTTTTAAGTTTTTAAGTTTTTTTTTTTTTTTTTTTTTTTTTTTTTTTTTAATGTGTCTAGAAATATACATCATGTGTTTTTATCAAGACACTATTAAGTTCTATTTAATTGCAGCATTTCAAACATTGTGTTCTCAAAGTTTGATTAAACTATTGAATTGGTTATGAAAGTTAGAATGTGCATGTATCATACACATCCAAAAATTCTTGAAGTTGGGTGTTTATACAAAATGTGCAGTTTTTATTATTTCTCATTTTAAATAAACACATAAAAAGAAGCCAAAATACAAAAAAGACGAAAAGAAAACATTATTTATTATTCGAAAAGTTAAAAAGGGTATTGAAGTAACTTTGAAACTCATGTGATGAGATTTGTACATTTCATGACTAGTTCTAATCACAGTTACCGCCTAATTACATGTGAATGTATCATTTCATCACTTGGCCCATCTTTTGTAAAATACAATGCCATCAATCAAAATAAGTGAAAAATATGTTTAGTGTTGAAATGATCCCTCTAGTCGAAAATTAATGAAGAAAGAGTACCACCGTATCAAAATGTTTGCTCTATTATTATTATTATTATTATTTTATTTAAACTAATGTTTAAAGAGGATGATACACATCTAACTTTCAGAATGCTAATGCTGGTACACGGTGGAAGCACATGGCACCCAACTTAATGCTCTCACCCACCCAGAATAAATAAAATAAAATAAAAAGTAAACTAAAAAGCAAAAGTGCGAGAGGTAGAGAAAGGAAAATAGCTCTTCGTAGTTTTGCGACCCCATTCCCACCGTCACCACACACTCCCAGTCAGGATCTATACCCCGACAGCTCCACGTCCACGTCATTATGGTGTGCCACATCATCCGAAACCACGATCCAGTTGGCAAAACCTGTCCACGTAAGCAAATCAGGCTGACCCGACCCCGCCAGCAAGGCAGGCAGGCTCACATGGCATTCCAGGTAAATAAAATATTCTCCTGGTCTCTGGAGAGTCGACCCGACCGCCTTTTATGAAGGGAACAGAGATACACACAGAGTTCCCAACGGCTGTCCTCGTTTAACGAACTCCAAGAGTACCACGCTCCCTTAGCGTTCCCAGTCATGTGACGTGGACGGAGGAGCCGGGTCAAGTAACATCCGTCCGGTTAAATCATCCATCCACATTGGGCGTTGGATGTGGAACATGGCTTTATTCATCCAATCCGCACCCGATACATTGACAGTATTAATTTCATGGATGGATGTGCATCCTGCCATGGCATCTGAGAGGAGATTGAGGAGAACCTTAATCAATCAAAGCAAGGCAGCTCGGTCTAGAGTGATGGCCATGTCCTTGCAGCTTGCTTTCATTGAAGGAGGGCGTTGCTAGTGGAGCGTGTCGGTCCCGCATCATAGCTCGCTGTATTGGTTACGTCTGCATGGAAATACTGGAAACATGAACAAGAGAGCGCAAGTGGGGGAAAAATAAAGAACGAAGAAGAAGAACAAACAACAAACAAGAAACAACTGACTTCTCGCTGGTCGATGCAACATTAGGGTTTCTTAGTTACTGACAAGAGCGACTGTTAATCTGTAGCGATGTGTGTGTGTGATTTTCTTTGTCTTTGGTTTTGTGTTGTGGATGTAGTTATTTTAGTGAGTTGAAGCGGGGGAATGGGTTGAAGTAGGTGCTCGGTCGGCCATCATTAGATTTGCATCTGCTCCTGTAAAGACTTTTTAGGCACTGCGAGTATGCCAGAAGGGTAAGTTGTTATCATCATCGCGTTTTGGCTTCATTGACAGAGTTGCTTAGCTGCGTGCTGCTCTGGCAGTGTCAGATTTACGGAGGGAAGGGAAGGGAAGGGAAGAGAAAGGCGGAGAGGAGAAGAGATGAGAGGAGAGGGGAGGAGGGGAGTTCTTGCTGCGATGGTAGAGACGTGAGATAGGGATTGTGTGAGGGAGGTATGGTGGCTAGTAGGGAGCTGCTGAGTGGTGTACCGGGGAGGGGGGTGCGAGGGAAGGGGAAGGAGGTGATGTGGAGTCGTCGATGGATGTGCGGGTTGGGGTGTGCGAATTGCGAAGAGGGAGACACATGATAGGGGAGAAGGCTTGGAGGAGTGAGGGCGATTTGAGGTTTAGAGGGTTGAATAAGAGGGGAAGGGCAAGGGCAAGGGGAAAGGATCAATATGGAGGAGGCGATATTGCAATTGCAATCGAAGGACACGAAGGAGAGAATGGCAGGTGTGGACAGGCTCCAGACTTTGTTAGAACAATGCCGGAAGAGCTTGACTGTTGCCGAGGTGTCAAGTCTCGTGGATGCCTCCATTTCTTTGTTGAAGGACAACAACTTTAAGGTGGCGCAAGGGGCACTGCAGGCATTGGCATCCGCAGCCGCGCTGGCTGGGGACCATCTTAAGCTGCATTTTAATGCGTTGTTGCCGGCCACTGTGGAGCGCTTGGGGGACGGCAAGCAGCCTGTACGCGATGCCGGGCGACGGTTTCTGCTTTCGCTTATGGAGGTGGGGAATCGGTTTTCTCTGAGGTTGAAAGGAACTTTTTTCGATGGTTTCTTTACATTGCTGGTTCTGTGATGCTTCTGAGATTGATCGCGTGTGTAGCGAGAGGTGGAGGACCAATAGAGTACAATTCAGTAGGGTCTAGTTTCCTTTGGGACTGTTGGCATTCAGCTGGTTAAAGGTTGCTTAGATCGCATTCTCTTGTTGAATTCTGTGGCCACCAGCTGAGGTAGGGCCCCTAATCTATAGTTGGCATGTCATGGAAATTGTTCTTGTTCAGAGTATACTGTGTTTGGATTGTGGTTTGGAAAGTTTAGGGTTTTTGATCACGCTCTTGTTAGGTCTATTTGAAGTCCACCGGTTTGCCTTTTCTGCTCGTATTGTAATAGGAACGACTTGCTTTGAATGCTGTTGATTTTAAAGAGGAATCGTGACGAATTATTGGCGATGAGTGTGACTCTCTAGTCAGTTGGCACGGATAGATTTTCGCAGTTGCATGAACACACTCCTGCATGAGTGAGATATGCATGACAGTAATTTGAGTAAGATTCGTGGGCTGATTTTGTGCTAGATCTCATCACCAACCACGATTGTGGAGAGAGCTGGTGCCTATGCGTGGGGTCACAAGAATTGGAGGGTGCGGGAGGAATTTGCTCGTACAGCTGCCTCTGCTTTGAATCTCTTTACTGCAGCGGAGCTACCATTTCAGAGACTCATCCTACCTTCAGTACGATCCTTGGCGCATGAAAAATGCAGCACCTCTCAATCTTTATAGTTGATAACTCCGTTGTCTAGTATCCCGCTTTGGAGCAATTTTATCACTTTTTAAGGGGAGTGGAAACACAAGACCTATTTAACAAATGATGTATTCCTCTTAATGGGGGAGCATGTGGGTTAGCGCTTTTTTATTAACCAAAGGTTGATCTTTTAAGACGCGCATGTTCCGTGGTCATACTTATTTTGTGTGTGCTCCTTGATAATTAGAGGAGCCCCCCTCACGTAAGCTTCTTTCAGATGTCTTACTCAGTATATGTGTCGCTAAACCGACCACCTTCGCTGAAACGTGTTCCACAGCCAAATTATTTGGTCCTCCAGTCGCCCACCTTGGCCTTCTTTCTGCAGCCAACCTATTATGTTGAAGAGTCTGTTCCTAGTTGGTGTATCGTGCCTTATGTGGTATCGTGCAATTTGATTACAGGTGCTTAATTTGTTGGAGGATTCAAACAGCAGTGTCAGAGAAGCAGCCATGCTTTGTCTTGAGGTATTTTCTCATCTGCGACAGTCATCCATACTTGCTGTTTGTTGTATGTTAAATTTTAATTAATGCGAAAACTTCGGCTTAGAACCGTGCGTACTACGCGGTTGCACCTTGTTGCGCACTTGAAGCGGCAATGACATCCTTTGCTGTTCTCCTGGCTTACATAAATGGCATATTCCTCTATGACTTACTTCAGCCTTTCCAAGTTGCAGCAGCTCTGTAGTGTGGCCAGTTCTACCAGGCATGTGCTGTCAGGCATATTTATCCCTCTGTTCAGTTATCGTTGATGCAGCCTAAGAATTTGGAATCACCAGTCAGGATTCATGTTTGCTTCTTTCTTTTGTCTTGTGGTGATGGTCACTGTTTGGCAGTTCGGGATGTGATACTCCGTTAAAGCCAGTGAGTGGAAATGTAGAATATTTTGATGATAAATTTACCACATTACAGGAGATGTATCGGCAGGGCGGAAAACAGTTTGGAGATGAGCTTGTACGTCATCAATTAAGAGCGTCTCAGGTGATATTTTGGTGCAGGCTTTGTGTTTGGTTGTGACGAGTTAATTGATGACGTGAATGTGGGATTTGTAAGCACGCGGTCCATTACATTGAGATACTGAGTTCACATGTCCTAGACAATATATTTTACAAGCACCTTCGTGGAATTTCCAACGTTCGTGAAATATAGAATTTTCTTCAGATTCTAAGTTTGTTGATTACTGTTTCACTTCACTACACACAATAGATCACACATGCGCAAGAAAGGATTCGATGTTGTACAGGCTGGGATTTTGATAGTGTAATAGACCTCCTGTGGATCCAGTCATATATGCCCTAAATTAGTCTTATGATTTAGGTTATACTTTACTTACAGTCTGACTCTTAAATCCTGTGCACCGTTGGCAGTTTAAAGAAATAAACGCCAGGTTTGAGAAAATCGAACCTGTGAGGAACATGTTTGATAGCAAGCCACATTCTTCGTCAGCTCAGTGCATCACTCCACCAAATCGATTTTCGGCTACTCCCAGTCAGCACAAATATGCCACCCAGCAAGCTGTAACCAGTCATTCGTGGTCTGCACCCGAGGTGAAAGTTCCAGTGTCATCTGGGATTTCCAGGGGCAACAGTCCAAAGTCGAAGCCTATTTTGGACGGTAGAATGCATTTCCAACGTTGAACTTTGTTAGATTAGTTTTGTTCCACATCATAAGAATATCCTTACTTGCCGCCAATTAGCTTATGTTTCCAGGACTGGCTCCTCTTTCTGCGTATGAGTTGGAGTTACCTGTGTAAGCTGATCCAGTGAACTTTAATATTTCATGGTTTTTTGATGATTCTCTTCTAAGTCCAGCAATTCTCGCAGCTGATGAGAAGCCAGCTGACCCAATTAGAGTTTTCTCCGAGCGGGACCTGGCGAAGGAATTTGAGAAAGCGGCAAGTATGCTTGCTCCAACGCAGGACTGGTCGATCAGGATGTCAGCCATGCGAAGAATCGAAGGAATAGTGGTAGGAGGTATGTTTAATGAAATACGTATTTTGGTTAATGTTCTGTCATGTGGACACAGCAGAACATTTCTGGAGGTTCTCTTGCTTCCCTGGATGATGTTTTTGTTTTTTGTTTTCTGTTTCCTTGAAAGTATTACTTTGTAAATGAATACATCCATTATGTATTCGTCACCTATGATTTAAATAAAGCCTAATGCAACGAAGTTGGTACTTTGGCACTGTGACAATATTCTATTATGCGTTTTTTCGTGATCTTTCCCAGGTGCAACGAAGTATAGCGGCTTTCTGCAGTTGTTGAAGCAACTTGTCAATCCTCTTTGTGATCAGCTAGCTGATCGTCGATCCAGCATTGTAAAGCAGGTATTAATTGTGGGATATCTGAAGCGTAACATCATTTTGGTATTTCTTGCGTTTCAGTCCCCCAGGCACGTAGCCAGCTAATAGGTAGCTTGCTTGATTAGCGAATCAGTTGACCTGAGGTGAAGTTGTGGAGGATGAGGAGATTTTGTGATGAAATTTGTCTTGATGGCTAAAGAAACCCACTACCTTTGTACAGGCATGTCAATTATTGAAAGTGCTGACCAAGGAGCTCAAATCAGATTTTGATGTCTTCGCGGAAACTTTCCTGCCAGTAAGTTTTTAACTGAAATTTGGGCATGGATATTGGAGGAAGTCAATTATGACAGTTGAAACTCTAAATCTTAGAATAAAGTGTTTCTCTGTTGAAAGAATACGCTGCAAATATGTATTTTGTCAAGGTTATAAATCTGAGGTGGTTAAATTGGCTCATGACGCAGGTGCTTTTCAAGCTGGTGGTCATCACAGTTCTTGTTATTGCTGAGTCAGCGGACGCTTGTATCAAATCAGTTAGTGTCTTCCTTTCTTCCTAATTACTACAGATGAAGCTCTGCACTGTCATCATATAGCATCTTTAATATTGTATTTTTATTTATTTATTCATCATGAAATATTAGGTCCTTCCAACGTGTGTTATCATTTCATGTTAGTGAAAGTGGTACCTTTTGAGTTATTTACTTGCGAAAATTATGTTATTATTATTATTAACATTATTATTATTGTTATTAGTTTGATAATAAAGTTTCTTTCTGGCATATGTCTATGAACCGAAAATCAACAAGATGTCTTGGGTAGTTCTGCATATAATCTGTACTAAATGCGGCATATTGGATGATTCATCATTCGCTGCACAGTTTTCTATGTGAAAAGAATACAATGAAGTGACGTAATCTCCACTGGTTGTTTGAACTTGCAACAGATGTTGCAACATTGTAAAGTGGCCCGACTTCTTCCTAAGATGGTTGATTTCGCAAAACATGATCGGAGCGCAGTTCTCCGGGCAAGGTAATTCAGTCTGTACTGGTCATTTATGTGGTTAGAGTATTGCGTACCAAGACAGCAAAGCAGAACTTGCGCTTTTTCTAATTGCTGTGGAGAGTAAGTTCGTCATATACCTGAGAATGTGTTCTGCCTAGATGTATGGATGTGCTTCCTGTCTCATTATATTCTTATTTTGGCTTGAAGGTGCTGTGAGTACTTGCTATTGGTGTTGGAGCGATGGTTCGACGCACCTGAGATGCAACGTTCAGCCGAGCTTTATGAGGATCTTATCAAATGCTGCTGCGCAGACGCAATGAGTGAGGTACAGTAAGTTCTGATATGTGCACTTTATTCAGTGGGTGAAATATTGCCAAGGCAATTGGCAGATACATATCTTGCAGTATCAGGCTCTGATTTTGCTTTGTTAGACCAACTGACTGCCTTTGAAAGCACCTTTTTTTTTTTTTTTTTCTTAGTTAATTATATATGACTTGAATTGCTTACCATTATGTTTACCCTCTGGGATAAGTTGGATCCCCACTAGGGTTACATGATACCATGTAGTGAAGCTGAATAACTTTTCTCTTGAGTCTGTTGCAGGTACGCTCTTTAGCAAGGCAGTGTTATCGCGTATTTGCTAGGTGCTGGCCAGATCGAGCACGTCGTCTCTATCAAGCTTTTGATCCTGTTACTCAAAAGGTGGGTTACACGGCACCTTATCTGCTTAAGAATTCTGTAATTGAATGCCTGGACGGTTATCTTGTTTTTATTCATGATTGCCATTCATAGTCTGTAATCTCTCTTTTGCAGGTTATAAATGACGAGGATGGAGGAATTCTAAAGAAATATGGCCATTCTACCGTTCATGATACTCATCAGTTGCGCCAGACCACCAGTTTACCAATTCTTGCGTCTGGACATAGCACATCACCACCTGGGGTGTCGAATTCGTCAAACGGACACCAAACTGCTTCATCAAATGGCTATAATTCCAATTACGCATCGAAGTCAGTATCGAGTATGTCACAGCGGAAGCCATCAGAGGCTGCTCCCGAGAGAAGTTTACAGAGTGTATTACAGGCCAGCCAACAGCAAGTAAATGCAATAGAGACTATGCTCAAAGGAGTTGGTATTAATGACGTGGGTTCATATTATCCAAATCCTCAAACTGCTGGTAAACGCTTTAGCCATCTGAATATCTCATCACTTATGTTCCAATCGTGTTGATTCCTCAGAAAACTTGCGTGCTTTTTGTTGAGAACTTGAAGCTGGAAGTTCTTCCTATTTAATGATTCCTTTGTGTTTGTTGTAGTTGTAAATACTTATTCGAAGAGTCAATCCACTGGTGCAACTTGGCCCTCACGTCCGGGGATTGATCCTCTCTCCTCTAGGGATCCTCCTCATCTGGCATCCGGTGCTGTACCACACCATCAACCCAGTCTGGCAGCCTTTCGACCTGGAAGTGCTGGAAGAATACAAAGTGGGCATCAGGCATTTGGTGATATGGATGCTGGGAAGTTAGCGGACTTTAGTGGCACAAACAGAGAAGCTGAGTTTGCAGTTGACATCAACCACGATTCTGCACGAGCCTCTGGGAGGTCACAATCAGCTAAGCGAGTACCGACGAGCGTACCAAAATACAGTACTCGTAGTTCAAGTGTTGAATATGATGAGCCCAAACAAGCTAAACGCATCCCAAAGCCAGAAGGACATATGGATAGAATGATGTCAGATGCTAATTCAAACGCAGTACCTGCTTATCAAAGACCCCTTCTTCGACAAACCGTCTCGGGAAGGTCGTCTGGAAATAACAGAAGTAACATAGAAGATATCGTTCCCACTGTTATGAACTCTTCTGGGGAGGTGTTTACTTATATGGATGGCTTGATGTCATTGAATGATGCTTTGACGGAAGGCTTGGCTCCAGGCTCAGAGTGGTCTGCTCGGGTTGCTGCATTCACATTCCTCAAAAAACTCCTTCAGCAAGGAAGTAAGGGCCTTCAAGAAGTGAGCCAGAACTTTGAAAAAGTGATGAAGCTGTTCTCTACGCACCTGGACGATCCGCATCACAAGGTGGCACAGGCTGCTCTTTCCACTCTTGTAGAGCTGGTGCCAGCGTGCCGGAAGTTGTTTGAGACTTATTTGGAGAGGATTTTACCACACGTATTTGCACGACTTGTGGATGCAAAAGAGGTCATTCGCCAACTGAGCACCTCTGCTCTCGAGACGGTGGGGAATACTTATAGCATCGACGCACTTTTGCCTGCTTTGCTTCGGTCATTGGACGAGCAACGTTCTCCCAAGGCAAAGATGGCAGTCATCGAGTTTGCTATTGCTGCATTTGCAAAATTGGCCTTGAATGGGGAGGCATCAGGGGGAAGTGGGCTATTGAAACTTTGGCTTGCCAAGCTTGCCCCCCTTGTCCATGAAAAAAATGCTAAGTTGAAGGAGACAGCTGTGACAGGGCTTATATCTGTATACTCACATTTCGAATCGTCCATAGTTCTTAACTTCATTCTTGGATTATCTATTGAAGAGCAGAGTACTTTGCGACGAGCTCTCAAGCATTATACTCCTCGAATTGAGGTGGATCTTATGACTTACATGCAAAACAGGAGCCAGCGGAATAAGACAAAATCTGGCCATGAGCGTCCTTCCTCCTCATCGACCCACATGGAGAGAGACGAGGATTATATTGAGCAGGTCTCTCCTACTGGAGATAAGAAACAGACCGCTCATGGTTATTCGTCTGGGGCTTTGGATAACTTGGGTCGAAAGTGGGTTGCTGCTGCTCAACTTGACACAATGAACCTGACTCATCATGGAGGTGCAACATTATCAATGACCGATCAGTCTATTCATTCCGGTCCCCCTTTTACTTATTCTGGAGACTCATCCACTTCTTCTGCTCATAACAAGGCTAAAGATACGATCAGTAATATAATCAGCAAAGATATAAATAATAATATTATTAGTAGTAGAGAAATCACCACTTCATGGTTTAACCGAACTCAGAACCAGCAGGCAGCGGGCTTAGAATCTAGGCCTAGTGTTTTACCCTTGATTAACTCAGAGGGTGGTAACAACCCGGATTCAGGGATTGGTACGGTGTCCAGTTCTGAAAGCTTACACTTCAATGACTCACCAGCCAATATCCACAGCAAAGTTGAGTTTAACTTTAATCATCAAAAGACAAATGCAAACTCTCTGCTTCCAGGACCAGATATCTCCAGTGGTGTACTCCAGGTGATTATTTTTGTGGTTTTACGTCAAGAGTGCTTTTATGTCTGGAATTATTTGTAGCAGTGAATGCGGTTAGAGGCTTGTGTACTGCATCATTTTTACGGCCAAAGCGAGGGGGACGCTGATTTATCCATCTTAAAGCAGGCTGATTGTTATTGTTTACGGGATCTCAGTGTCGATGTTGTCATCTTTGTTTATCATGGTGTTGCTAATTTAAGTAAACATGTTCCATTCACACTTTGATGTTGCACAAAATTTTCTTCCGAACACCGGTACCTGAACTTACCATGTAGCTACATCTTTGGATTTTAATGCAGATGTCAAGCTGGGATAGTGGAAAAGCAATTGGAGTCAGAGAAAATGCACTCCAGCAACTGACGGAGTTCTCTCATGCCAACGATTCTAATACGTGGTCGAAGGTGTGTCCATGTTGCTGCCTCTCTATAGTCTTGTTGATACTGAGCAATGTAGAATGTTATGATAATTATAGTTTCTTACTATTAGGTATTTGATTTGTGAGCTGGTAGTCGCTTGCAAGTAATGAATGGAATGCTCAGGAGTAAGTATACGTGCACAAGCTGCTGAAGATTGCTCACTTTAGGTTCTCAGGTTAATAGAGCCTGGCCTGGTTGATTTCTACCGTTGTTTAAAAAATCACCTTTCTAATAAGGTTGGGTTGGCGTGCAGTATTATAACCAGATTATTACCCTGGTGTTGGAGGCACTGGATGATCCAGAACCAACAATCAGGGAGCGGGCTGCAATTGTCTTGCTTGAGATGCTTAAGAATCAGGTTGTTTAACTATGGTCTAATTTTATTTGGTGACCCTCTGAGTTCAATTAATTCATTTCAATCCGTCATTTTATGCTTGTTTGTACAAGATAAAGATTAAATATTACTTTTTTCAATAAGTCTTGGATTGAGCGTAACCACATCTTAAGTTGTACGACCTTTTGCATAGGTGTTTGTACGATTCTAGTTAGTTATTTTCTAAGGTCTTTTTGGTTTAGTCGTGCTCAAGTCTATTGCAGAAGCTAATATTTAATTACTGTGGGCTGCTCTGATTCTATTTTGGTTCCTTAACGCAGAAAGACAGACTAGACAAGGATACTGAAGTTTTGTTGGAGAAACTTTTGCAATCAGCCAGAGACAGTGACGCAAAGGTAACTGGATTGTATTTGTATAAGTGTCATCATGCATGCATAGTTTTCTTTACAAACACTCAGCTGCTTCTTTGATGTGGCATAGATTATCATTATTTGTTTTTGGGCAATACATGGCAACATATGCATCATGAGATACAGGTCTTGAATAAAATTCTTGAACAAAATAATTTTGCTGCGTAGTTGGTTCTGAGATTTGGGGTTTTCTTGCTTCTACTCATGGATATGATTGTTTGATAGATAGAGACAATTACAAATTTCACATGCATATTAAATGTAGGTGAGTGCTGCGGCTGATCTTAGCCTGAACGCTGTGTTGACGGAACTGGACACATATCGTTGCCTTTCGGTATGACTTCACTTCAAATACCTTGGATTAAAACTCAATTCGTCGTCAGGATGCTTCATCTATTACAACGGAAATTTTAATGTGCATGTGACCCTCAACTCATTGATACTGCAAGTCCTTTCTCATCAATGAGCAAGCATCCTATGCGTGAGTGATTTTTAATCCTTTCTATCTATAAGTGTATTGACGACAGGAGAATCTTTATTTTTGAAACAGGTTGTTGTACCTCTTTTGGAATCTGAAAATGAGAAGACCTTGGTGACTTGCATCAGCTGCCTTACCAAAGTATTTTGCTTATTACTCATTATGCGTCGTCATTTGTGTGATGATTTTCCTTGGAATTGGCATGTCCAACTTTGAGGAGATTGTTGATGAAAAAATGCTGAAGTTTTGCTAAATCGTAGATGAGTTACTAGTACAGAACGAATTGAACTTTCTCGAATTTGGGTGATGTATTTTGCTTGCATTAGAGTTCTGCCCAAAGGCGCTGGTGTGCCATTTATGTTTCAGGTTTTTCTTCTACTCCATCCTGTCTGCCACTCTCTACTTACATTATTTGTGCCCTGGCAGCTTGTAAGCAGACTCCCTCCAGAGGAGCTGACGTCCCAGTTGAATTCTTTCTTGCCTATGCTCTTTGATGCTTTTGGAAACCAGGATGCAGATGTTCGAAAGGTATGAGATGCATTTTGCATCCTTTTGTGATTAGTGTTAGATGATGTGAGCTGCCCCATGGAACTGCCTATACCATCATTTCACGTTGAACTTTGGGTAGTCCCTCTTACGTGTAGTAGATGTTATTAATGTATTGCTATGTGGCTTGACTTTGGTTTTGCAGACTGTTGTTTTCTGTTTGGTGGAAATATACATCGTCTTGGGCAAAGCATTTGTTCCATATCTTGGAAGTCTTAGCAGCACACAGTTTCGATTAGTCACTCTCTATGCAAACCGCATTTCTCAGGTGCGCCTAGACCCCACTAATCCACTCTTATTATATCTACTTAATCTTGTATGAGTCATCTTGTAATATGCTTCTCTGTACTTTCAACAATTTGTGGCGGCAATTGGTAATACTGTCTTGTTGATGCACAAGGTTTACTAGTGCTCATCTATGCATCTGTGTTTGTACTGAATGAAATTCTTGTGAACCAGGCAAGAATGGGATCGTCCTCGCAACCAACCCAGCAAGCCTAATATGACCATACTCAATATTCCTCTTCCTACAGAGGGGAATGTTAAGTTAGCAAGCTAAAAGGGCACAAATAGCAAGTACCCATTTGAAGTGATGTCGACGTTGCATGGGTAGCTGCGCAGTACTTGCCTTCGTGACGAAGAAGCACTTTTGGTTATGTATTCCAAGCTAAGCTGACTTGCGCCTGTACTTTCTATGTTTGATTTTCCTGATTTACACAATATTTTTGAAGGTCTGGTTGAGTAGTCGGACCTTTGACATCGATCCCGTGTCTAAATTCTGAAGCTGGAAGGTCGGCACGCAGGAAGGATGTCCTGAGTTGCGAACATCCGTTGAGTTCTGGATTGGTTACTTGAGTTGGGACCTATGTATTTCTATTTATTGTTGTTGATTCCATGTATTTGGAGGAGAGTTCACGAGATTGTGAATTTTTTTTCTAGAATCTGTATCTGGTAGTGATGCGTTTGTAAGCTTCTTCTGTCAATAATTCACTAGTTCGAAAATTTCTGCGGCTAGCATGGTGTTTTTGTCTAGAATTTTTGGGTTCCAAAATCTAACTTGTATATGAATATCAGACTACATCCAGCAATGACAGCACGCCATCCACGAACTAATTTACTGATAATTGGACTAGTGAGAAAGTAAAGAATACGTACCCAAACATGTGGAAGCTTGGATGAGGTACATGTTGTGTAGTGGTTCCAACTAAAAGAATGTCTGGACTGTCCAACGGGTAGGTCTTGTAACCAATTGTGGTTGATACATGACCTTGAAATGTCATGCTGTATATTTGCGACTTCAAGGGTCCCTTCAGCTAAACTTCATAATCCATTCTAAGTGATTAGGGTAATCAGTTTTTTTTGATAGTATCGTTCCATGAGCATAAAGAAAAATGAAATGTTTCAGAAGCATATTCAAACATTCTGTTTGATGTTGAAATTCGATTTTGATACTGTTATTTGATTACATGGCACATGTTGCTTCTAATTTCTTGGTTTCATCCCTAATTATATCCAAAAATATTTTTTTAGTTTGTTAGTTTTTAAATCAACTACATTGCTAAACTACTTATAGTTTGTTTTCACATACATCTATTTCTATTAACAAGAAAATTGTTCAATAGTATTAAAATGCATGATATTATACTGGTTTAATTCTGCTTATAAATGCACTAGCCAGAAATAAGTCACATTGAAGCTTTTATGGATGTACAATACTTTTGAGTTGGATGTAAATGTTACAAAATGTTCTCCTAGTAGCTCCATAGAAGTAAAAAATTTAAAAAATGTTATTCTATTAATAAGATACATCTACAGATTTTCAATCTATGTTTAAAAAGCTTTTTTGATTTTTTTAGAAGATATTAAAACTTAACATATTCTAATAAATTTTATTTTTTTAATAATTATGTATATCTATAATATATGTTATTAATAAAAATAAAATAAAAGAAAAATACAATTAAAAAGTAAAAATATTTGTATTACAAAAATTAAGTAAGATTTATTATATTTATTACTAATTTCTAAAGAATATTAATGAATTATTATTTATAATATTTATATTTGTTATTTTGAAACTTCTATCCAACATTTTTACTCAAAAAAAAAAAAAAACTATAATATAAAATATACATTGTAATAAAGTCATATTACAATGTATATGATAAATTGAGTCTAAAATTATTTGTAATACTAAATCATTTGAAGGACATTAAGATGACAAATATTTTTACAATAGTATTTTATTTTTTGTTTATTTTTTATTTTTTTTTAAGATTAAGAAACTAAGAAGAAGCTAATTTACATAAGAAATTCATCAAAATATTCTTTTTGAAATGTTATTAGAATATTCAATCTAAAATATAAATTTCTTATAATACAACTTTAGACAAGTTAGATATATTATTCCAAATCTCGATTCACTTATTATCAAGGACATGAACCTCAAAGAATTAAAAGATCAATATTCTCTTGTATCACTCAAAAAGACTAGAAAATCACTCAAAGATGATATAGTATTAAATTAGAATGGTTATGGCTAAAGATAAGAAGATTAGAAAGCCTTGAAACAAGACTATTGACTAGAAAGATATTGACAAGAGTGAAAAATGCTTCACTCTTACTTCCATAAATACTATCTAATTAGAGCTATGTGGCGATGTTTTAAAGGACCTCCAATATATGTTGACTTTGCAAGACATGTATCTTAACTTATAAGGCTAGTTTTTTGTATGTGTGCCACATAATTAATTTGTTCATAAGCTACCAATACATATAGCATGTGATTAGTTTGTTGACCAAGTTTCTAACCTATCAATCAACTACAAACATGTATAAAGTCAAAATTGAGTCTATGAAGCTTCTAAAAAGTTTCTCTAAAAGATATTATAAAATTAATTTACTTTTACCTACTTCTATTTAATTATATAATAATTATTGGAATAAATATATATGCCCCTAATATTATCTCTTTTTCTAGAGACAAATTTTATGAGGTGTAATCATTATCTTTCATAGATCTTATTTTTCTTCATCTTAATTTTGATGGATGTCATTGATGAAAAGCCTCAATTCTTCTCATTACATTTGTAAGATTTTTTGCTAGCTCCTATGTGCATTTATTATTATCATATTTGCACCAATAAATAAGATATTCTAATCTATTTTGGCACTCCCTAAAATCTAAGACTTCTTCCACCTCAAACTCTTGATTATTATCCATTTTTACAGGAGGAGGTGATATTTGTCTTCTTTCCAAGATATTCATTGTTTTATATGGCTGAAGAAGAAACATATGGAATATAAGATAGATCTTTAAAAACTTCAAAAGGTATAATTAATAAGCAATAAGATTTACTTGTTTATAAATAAAAAAAATCCAAGCTTACAATAATTCAACTTATTACAAGCACGAGTAGTCTTGATATTGTGATGAATAACCATATCTTGTCATCTATATCAAATTTTGGTTGTTGCTTGTGATAGGCATTTGCATTGACTTTTTATTATTTTTTGAGCTCTCTTTAACTGCACCTTCATTATTACATGTAGCTCTGACAAATAATTTATTAAATCTTTTATTGTAGGATTATCAACTTTTAAAAATCCAAAAGTATCAAATTATAGATGATAATCATAATTGGCAAACAAAGGTGTTTATTGATTAGAAGAATGTATCAATTTATTGTACACAAACTTTGCCAATAGCAATAGAGTTGTAAAATCATCTTGATGATAATTAATGATACACCTCAAATACTGCTCTAAAACTTGATTCACTCGTTTTGTTTGCCTATTAGTTTGCAAATGAAAAGTCAAAGAGAGCTTTATATCTATCTTTAAAAACTTGAAAAGGATTCTCTAAAACCTTGATACAAATTGAAACTCCGTATCTAATATTGTATCCTTAGGCAATCCATGATAATAAAAGATATTGTTAAAAAAAAGCTTAGTTATTTCTTCACCTATGATAGATTTTATACATGGTATAAAACATGCCATCTTAGTAAAAAAAATATAGAATTATACAAATCTGAGACTATAAGATCCGTTGTCGTATTACATGCTATCTTGCTTGGGAATACACCGTGCACCTAACTGTAGAAGGTGAGGTTGTGTTTTATAAACATCCAAAAAATCCTAATAGATTTTATCCATATGAAAAGAATACAATCCAAATTCCAATTAAAAAGTACTAAAAAGCACTCTTCTTAGTAGCCTCAGTCACACATAAACCTCAATTACCTTGTTACTTTCATATTTAAGCAATTTAGATTCTTCATATAAGACTCAACTCTAATAAGTGAGCTTTGATAAGCTGTAACTTCTAATTTGACCATCCACTTGATGCGAAATTTTGCATGCAATTGTCAATGTAAGTCTCCTATATGCTCAAAATTTTCAGTCCAATCCAACTTATAAATTGTGAGAAAATCTCCAAAAATTGTACTAATGTCTCTCGGCTGCCAACTTGAAAGGTGAAACAAAAGTTCCAGCAATGATTTTTCCTTCTACAACTATTAACTTTGACTCAAAATTGGTGTATAGCTTGATCTTCAAGTCCTTCAACACTTTGCTAAATTTCACATTAATTAAGTTAGTAGATCTCTAGATATCAAAAAAAACCTATTCAATCCCAAATTACCAACTTCCGATATGTTCTTGTACCAAAATCCAAATATCTTTCAATTGCACTCTTCGATTACCACAAAATTTTACATACACTTAGAACACCTAATTAACCAAGTGATTTTAAAATTTGAGTTGTAGATGTGAAAATAATTTTATTAACTAGTCGAGAGTACTAGCCTTAATTTCATTACATAAATCCTAAGTTGCCAATACAAATCTTGACTTCCAACAATAATTGCCAAGTCTCTCCAAATCCTAGCAAAACCAGCCTTATATCTTTGAAACAAGCTCCAACCTAACTCTCAAATCCTAATCTCTAAACTTTGAATGAAACCCTATTTTGTCCTAGATAGTCATTTTAGTAGCTAGAGGTTTGATTTCAACCCTAACTTGCAAACGGTCAACCCTCGGGTATCAATCTAATCTATCCTAAGGATTTTTTAGCCCAATCCTATCCTCAATTTAACCCTAGTATCAACTATACTAATTATTTATCTCTTCTAATGTGATTTTATCAATTTATGACCTTTCTAATTTAGTAAAAGAGTCTCTACAGCTAAAAGATAAAATTACTAATTAATCTTCAACCTATTAATTATTAAGATAAGAAAATAATCTAAGAGGCTTTTATAAAAGCCATGTTTAGATATCTTAAATTATTATTTAATCTAGATAATTAGATATTAATTAGAAATTTAATATTGATTATAGTTTTATTATATGGTCATATTATATTATGTCACCGTGATAAAATCCATAGAAAAAAAAGACTATAGTTGTTTCAAAATAGGTAATACGTGAAAAAGTCTTTAAGATTGATGACAAGGAATTTTGGATCTTAAACAAATATCTCCTAATTATACAAAGTCTTGTGATTTGTATATATGATGATTAGACTTGAGTTGTCTTCTAAATAATAATGATATTTTTAAAATGAATCCATAATTGTAAGAAGCTTTATATTATGGATATTATAGTTAATCTTAAATATTAAAAATTTCTTAGAATGAAAAACTATTGGGTGGAACTTATCATCTGCTTCAATTTGTCATAAAATGACACCTATAGCAAAATTTGATGTGTTTGTTTCTATAAAGAATTCCTTGAAAAAATCAATGCAATATAAAATTGGTGCAAAAATAAATGATGGCTTCAAGTCTTTAAAAGATGCTTCAATTTCTTTGTTCTATTGAAGTTTGTCTTTATATGTCAGACGTGTAAGAAGAGGCACAATTTTATTTATTTATTTTTTATTTATTTTTAATTTTTTTAATTTTTTATGAAGATCTTGTAATAATTGGAAAATTCCAAAAAATATTATATATCTCTGATTATTTTTGAAATCTTCTAATCCATAATAATTTGGATCTTCTTTGAATTCA